CTGGAATTATTACTTGGTGTTCGTTTCTATTTTTCTCTACCCCCACACCGGGAGATTGTAAAGGTCGTTTCTTAGGGTTTTAGAATCAATTAAATTATACGTCTTGGCACTGTTGGCAGTCTGTCTGGAAGCGCTATCTTAATAATTTGTGAATTACGGGAGCAGCGTGTAATCAGTTAAACATAGATACATACAAAGTATATCAATGTCATAACATAGTGTTATATAATTTGTGTATATATATATTATATAGTAATAATATATATATATGTAGTATAAATATATAATACTATTACATGGTGTTGTGTGGCGGTGGTAGGTGCGGTCGTGTGCGTTGTGCATGGCGTGTGCCGGAATGTGCATGAAGTGGAGTCGAGCGAAGTGATAGATGAGAGAACGTGTGGACAGATGTGCGAAATGGATGTACGGTCATGTGCATGCAGACGTGTGGCAGATGGTGCGTGGAGTGTTGCGCGTGTGCAATGTGCCAGTGATGGCGTGGTGAGAAGTGTGTGTGTGTGTGTGGAGGTGTGATGGTGTGATAGTGTGGAGCGTATGTTATATTGGCAAACTATCAGTGTTCAAATAAAAAACGTTAAAATCAACAAGATACTGCCTAAAAAACCATCGTTCACATCCACTGTTCGTGACCGTCACTCGTTCGTGACGAAGCCGGCCGGTGACAACGTGCGCATCGACACGCGGTATGGAGCGGAGGCCCATCATCCTCGCGGTCGAAATTGCCAATGAAGTTTAAACATTCCAGCGTGAAGATTGGCTTTATTTTCTCTTCGTCCAGATTGAGATCGCTCGTTCTCGCTATGCAGGAGGTTTGTCGCCTCCTCATCGGCGCTCGTTGTTCTCCGCTGGTCTATCGCTCGACGTCTCGCTGGATGCCGAGGACGGTTTGTACGCCTCCTCCTCGAGGGCTCGTGCTTCTCTCGCTGGTTCTTCGCCCTCGTATATCCGCCTATGCAGAACGGTTTTGGGTCGCCTCCTCATCGGGGCTCGTTGTTCTCTCGCTGGTTATCCTCGTTCGTCGCTATTGCAGGACGGTTGTGCGGCCTCCTCTTAATGGGCTTCGTTGTTCTCTCGCTGGTTATTCGCTCGTGTGCTTCGCTATGCAGAACGGTTGTCCGCGAGTGCGGCTCTCAGAGCTCGTTGTTTCTCTCGCTGGTTAGTCGCTCGCTTCTCGCCTGATGCAGGACGTTTGTCGCCTGCGGAGACTCCTCATTCGAGGCTCGATTGTTCTCTCGCACTGGGTTCTCGCTTTTGTTCTCTGCCTATGCAGAACAGAACGGTTTGTCGCGCTCCTCTTCAGGCTCGGTTTTTTCTCTCGCTGATGAGTTATGCGCTCGTTCTCGGGCTATGCAGAACGGTTTGTCGCCTCCTCATCGGGCATCGTTGTTCTCTGCGCTGGTTACTGCAGCTTGTTCTCCGCTATAGCAGAACGGTTTGTCGTCTCCTCCTTCGGGCTCCGTTGTTCTCGCGCTACCTGTGAGTTATGGGACGCTCCGTCTCGCTTTATGCAGAACATGGTTTAGTCGTACTCCTCTTCGGGCTCGTTGCTTCTCGCGCGGTGGTTATCGCTCAGTTCTCGAGCTACCTTGCAGGAACGGTTTGTCGCCTCCTCTCCGAAGCATCGTTGTTTCTTCCGGCGGCTGGTTAGTGCGCTCGTCTCCGCTATGCAGGAACGGCTTTGTCGCCTCCTGATCGGGGGCTCGGGTTGGTTGTGCTCGCAGCTGGTTATCGCTGGAGAACGTCTCGCTATGCAGAACGGTTGTCGCCGGTCACTCCTCGGGGCATCGCTTGGGTTCTCGCGCTGGTTTATCGCTCGGTTCTCGCCTATGCAGAACGGTTTGTCAGTCTACTCTTCGGGCGTCGTTTTGAGGGATTCTCGCGCTGGTTATTCGCTCGTTCTCGCTATGCAGGAACGGTTTGTCGCCTCTCTTCAGGGCTCGTTGTTCTTCTCGCTGTTATCGCTCGTTTCTCGCTATGCAGAACAGGTTTGTCGCACCTCCTCATCGGGGGGCTTACGTGGGTGTTCTGGCGCGCTGGTTCTCGCTCGTTCTTCGCTATGCAGAGAACGGTGGATTTGTCGACGAACTCTTAGTTCAGGCTCGTTGTTCTCTCGCGAGGTTAATCCGTCCATTCTCGCTATGCAGAAACGGATTTTGTCGACTCCTCCTCGGGCTCGTTGTTATCTCTCGCTGGTTATCGCTCGTCTCGCTATTGCAGAACGGTTGTGTCGCCTCTCTTCGGGCTCGTTGTTTCTCTCGCTGGTTATCCGCTCGTTCTCGCTATGCAGAACGGTTTGTCGCCTTCTCTTCAGGCTCGTTTGTTCTCTCGCTGGTTATCGCTCGTTCTCGCTATGCAGAACGGTTTGTCGTCTCCTCATTCGGGGCTCGTTGTTCTCGGCTGGTTATCGCTCGTTCTCGCTATGCAGAACGGTTTGTCGCCTCCTCATCGGGCTCGTTGTTCTTCTCGCTGGTTATCGCTCGTCTCGCTATGCAGAACGGTTTGTCGCCTCCTCTTCAGGCTCGTTGTTCTCTCGCTGGTTATCGCTCGTTCTCGCTATGCAGAACGGTTTGTCGCCTCCTCATCGGGCTCGTTGTTCTCGCGCTGGTTATCGCTCGTCTCGCTATGCAGAACGGTTTGTCGCCTCTTGTTTCAGGCTCGTTGTTCTCTCGCTGGTTATCGCTCGTTCTCGCTATGCAGAACGGTTTGTCGCCTCCTCTTCGGGCTCGTTGTTCTCTCGCTGGTTATCGCTCGTTCTCGCTATGCAGAACGGTTTGTCGCCTCCTCTTCAGGCTCGTTGTTTCTCGCTGGTTATCGCTCGTCTCGCTATGCAGAACGGTTTGTCGCTCCTCTTCGGGCTCGTTGTTCTCTCGCTGGTTATCGCTCGTCTCGCTATGCAGAACGGTTTGTCGCCTCCTCATCGGGCTCGTTGTTCTCTCGCTGGTTATCGCTCGTTTCTCGCTATGCAGAACGGTTTGTCGCCTCCTCTTCGGCTCGTTGTTCTCTCGCTGGTTATCGCTCGTTCTCGCTATGCAGAACGGTTTGTCGCCTCCTCATCGGGCTCGTTGTTTCTCGCGCTGGTTCTCGCTCGTTCTCGCTATGCAGAACGGTTTGTCGCCTCTTGTTCAGGCTCGTTGTTCTCTCGCTGGTTATCGCTCGTCTCGCTATGCAGAACGGTTTGTCGCCTCCTCTTCGGGCTCGTTGTTCTCTCGCTGGTTATCGCTCGTTCTCGCTATGCAGAACGGTTTGTCGCCTCCTCTTCAGGCTCGTTGTTCTCTCGCTGGTTATCGCTCGTTCTCGCTATGCAGAACGGTTTGTCGCCTCCTCTCGGGCTCGTTGTTTCTCGCGCTGGTTATCGCTCGTTCTCGCTATGCAGAACGGTTTGTCGCCTCTTGTTCAGGCTCGTTGTTCTCTCGCTGGTTATCGCTCGTCTCGCTATGCAGAACGGTTTGTCGCCTCCTCCTCGGGCTCGTTGTTCTCTCGCTGGTTATCGCTCGTCTCGCTATGCAGAACGGTTTGTCGCCTCTCTTCGGGCTCGTTGTTCTCTCGCTGGTTATCGCTCGTTCTCGCTATGCAGAACGGTTTGTCGCCTCTCTTCGGCTCGTTGTTCTCTCGCTGGTTATCGCTCGTCTCGCTATGCAGAACGGTTTGTCGCCTCCTCTTCGGGCTCGTTGTTCTCTCGCTGGTTTATCGCTCGTCTCGCTATGCAGAACGGTTTGTCGCCTCCTCTCGGGCTCGTTGTTCTCTCGCTGGTTATCGCTCGCTCGCTATGCTTTGTCGCCTCCTCTTCAGCTCGTTGTTTCTCTCGCTGGTTATCGCTCGTTCTCGCTATGCAGAACGGTTTGTCGCCTCCTCATCGGGCTCGTTGTTCTCCGCTGGTTATCGCTCGTCTCGCTATGCAGAACGTTTTGTCGCCTCCTCTCGGGCTCGTTGTTCTCTCGCTGGTTATCGCTCGTTCTCGCTATGCAGAACGGTTTGTCGCCTCCTTGGGCTCGTTGTTCTCTCGCTGGTTATCGCTCGTTCTCGCTATGCAGGACGGTTTGTCGCCTCCTCATCGGGCTCGTTGTTCTCTCGCTGGTTATCGCTCGTTCTCGCTATGCAGAACGGTTTGTCGCCTCCTCTTTCAGGCTCGTTGTTCTCTCGCTGGTTATCGCTCGTTCTCGCTATGCAGAACGGTTTGTCGCCTCCTCATCGGGCTTTGTTCTCGCGCTGGTTCTCGCTCGTTCTCGCTATGCAGAACGGTTTGTCGCCTCCTCATCGGGCTCGTTGTTCTCTCGCTGGTTATCGCTCGTCTCGCTATGCAGAACGGTTTGTCGCCTCCTCTTCGGGCTCGTTGTTCTCGCGCTGGTTATCGCTCGTTCTCGCTATGCAGAACGGTTTTGTCGCCTCCTCTTCGGCTCGTTGTTCTCTCGCTGGTTATCGCTCGTTCTCGCTATGCAGAACGGTTTGTCGCCTCCTCATCGGGCTCGTTGTTCTCTCGCTGGTTCTCGCTCGTTCTCGCTATGCAGAACGGTTTGTCGCCTCCTCTTCAGGCTCGTTGTTCTCTCGCTGGTTATCGCTCGTCTCGCTATGCAGAACGGTTTGTCGCCCTCCTCTCGGGCTCGTTGTTCTCTCGCTGGTTATCGCTCGTCTCGCTATGCAGAACGGTTTGTCGCCTCTTGTTCGGGCTCGTTGTTCTCTCGCTGGTTATCGCTCGTCTCGCTATGCAGAACGGTTTGTCGCTCCTCCTTCGGGCTCGTTGTTCTCTCGCTGGTTATCGCTCGTTCGCTATGCAGAACGGTATGTCGCCTCCTCATCGGCTCGTTGTTCTTCGCGCTGGTTATCGCTCGTTCTCGCTATGCAGAACGGTTTTCTCGCCTCCTCTTCGGGCTCGTTGTTCCGGCGGGTTTGGGAGGACTGGGCAGCGGGGCGGGGACTGCTGAGGAGGTCGTTGGAGCCGCTCGTTGGGTGACTGGGTCGTCTCGCTCGTTCTTCTCTCTAACTCGGATTTATTCTCTGAGTCTTCTTGTTTCTCTTCTTCTGATCTTCTTTGGGTCTTCTTCTTCCATACCGTCTCTGTGTCTTCTTGTTTCCTTCTTCTGATCTTCTCTGGGACTTCTTCTTCCATACAGTCTCTGTGTCTTCTTGTTTCTCTTCTTCTGATCTTCTTTGGGTCTTCTTCTTCCATACAGTCTCTGTGTCTTCTTGTTTCTCTTCTTCTGATCTTCTTTGGGTCTTCTTCTTCCATACAGTCATCCTCCTTCCGTAGTTTATTTTTTTTTCTCGTATGTTTTATTTTTCTTTCTTTCTTTTCTTATCCTCGTTTATCCTATCCTGTCTGTTTTAATTTGTTCTTAACGCTTTTACTCCATTATCCTTCCTTTTTTTAAACTATTCCTTCCAGTTATTATGCTCTCCATTTGGGCATATATTTGTCACTCAGAGATTCGTCTTTGGTAAAGAGAAGGACCAATAATGGCCTTTGTTAGTTATTCTCTCTCTCTCTCTCTCTCTCTCTCTCTCTCTCTCTCTCTCTCTTCTCTCTCTTCTCTCTCTCTCTCTCTCTCTCTCTCTCTCTCTCTCTCCACAACACACACACACACACACACACACACACACACACACACACATATTTATCTGCCTCTTAGTCTCTCTTATTTGCTTAATATCAATCCCTTGTTTTCCCTCTTCCCCATTACTGTCACATTTCTCCTTTTTATCCCGTCAAACCGCCATCTCTCCCCTCCCCATATATAACCCCACTTTCCCCCTCTCTTTCTTACATTTCTCTTCATCTCTATATACTTTCTTTCCATCCTCTTCATCTTTATTCGTCCATATACCTTCTCCCCATCCTCCTCTCCTTGGAATTCTTTTCCTATCCCTCCTCTACCCATCTATTTTCTCTCATCCTTATAATCCTCTACGTTCCTCTACCTCTCCCTTCCTTACCCCTCCTCCTGCCGTTCAACCTTTATTCTCTTACTCTCCCTCCTTTGCCTCTGCCTATCTCTACCCATTCCCCACACCCTCGCCCCTACACATCCCCCACCTATCCTTGCTTACCAATCCCTCCCATCTATCCTCCCCACCCACCCATCCTTACCCTGCCCATCCCTCCCACCCATCCCCCACCCACCCCCACCTATCCTTACCCCTGCCCATCCCCCAGCCACCATTCTCCCACCTATCCCCTCCCACCCTTTCCCCCTACGCAACCCCCACCCACCCTACCCACCCCACCCACCCCCCCTCCCACCCTTCCACCCTACTCAACCCCACCCACCCTCACCCCTACCCATCCCCCACCCACCCTCGCCCTACCCACCCAACCCCTACATCCATCCCCCACCCACGCCCTACCCACCACCTCGCCCCTACCACCTAAACCCCTACCCATCCCCCCCCCCACGCCCTACCCATCCCCCTATTCCCTCCCGTCCTGCCCCCGAGCGGCCCGGCCCTATCTACCCCCCTGGAGGAGCCCTCCGTCAGCGCCCTACACATTTAATGGGTTTCCGATGTTGGAAGTTAATTAATTCCTCAAACGATTCGGGTTCCTCGCGTCTCCCTCGCCAATGCAGATGTTCCTCGGGTCTTGGGGCGTCTTAGGAGGAGGAGGAGGAGGAGGAGGGGGGAAGGAAGGAAGGAATGGAAGGGTGAGAGGGAGAGGAGAGGGAGGGAGGAGTAGAAGTAGAGGAGGAGAGAGAGAGAGAAGTAGAGGGAGAAGGAGAAGGAGAAGGAGGGAGAGGAGAGAGAGAGAGAAAAGGAAGACGACTTGGAAAGAGAGCAGGAAAAAAATAAGTTGATATGAGCTGAAGGGAAGAAAAGAGAAATGAACTTTATAAGAATGTTAAAACGAAAGGACTAAAAACTTTGCAAAAAAAAAAAAAAAAAAAAAAAAAAGAAAGAAAGAAAGAAGAAAGAAAAAACAGGTACAGGAAGTCACAAGATTTTTCTGAGAAAGAAGAGTTTATGGAGCAAACGGTACATAAGGTCTTAAGAAATGCGAGTTTGGTCCTTAAGGAGGAAGGGATTGGTGGATATGATTTTTTTTTCCAAATAGGACATAATTTTTTTTTCTATCTATCTGTGTATTTCCTTTCTCTCTCTTTCTCTCTCTCTCTTCTCTCTCTCTCTCTCTGTCTCTCTCTCTCTCTCTCTCTCTCTCTCTCTCTCTCTCTCTCTCTCTCTCTCTCTCTCTCTCTCTCTCTTCTCTCTCTCTCTCTCTCTCTCTCTCTCCCTCCCTTCCTCCCCCCTCTCTCTCTCATTCTCTCTCTTTCTCTATCTATCTAATTATCTATCCCCCCCCCCCCCTCACCCCGTCTTCTCTCACCCTCTCTCTCTCCTAAATAATTGATCGCTTGCACATGAAATGATTAATCGTTGAATAAAAAGATAAAATTGCACAATATCAAAGTCACGTTCCAGTTTCACAAGAATACATGAACTTCAGCCTCAGTAACTTGTGATAAGACCATGAATCATCCCCAATTACTAGTCAATTTAATTACTAGTCATCACTATTACTAGTCAAAATTGCCAATCAAGAATAGCCACAACCATCACCTGCACATTCACGGTAATTAAGACCCACGCAAACCACCTTAACCCCCCTCTCCCGTACCCCCCCTCCCCGCCCTTCCCTCATCCATAAATCCCTCTTTGTTTAGCGCCCCTCTTTTCCCCCTCTCCCTCTTCCCCTCTTCCGACCCATAGAAAGAGGGATAAGGGCGCACTAGAACACCTTCGGGTCCGCTGTAGAAGGGAGACAAAAGACCCCGTTAATGTGAATCGAGTCAAGACACAAGGAACTGTCGGGATCCTCTTCAAGTAGTAAGAAGTTCCCGAAGAGGCGTTGAACGGCGGCGGAGAGGAAGGGAGGGAGGGAAGGGGGGAGGGAAAGGGTGGGGAAAGAGGGTTAAGGGAGAGGGATGGGGGGAACGAGAGGGTTAAGGGAGAGGGTGTGGGGGGGGGAAGGGAGGGAGGGAAGGGGAAAAGGTTGGGGAAAAAGGCTAAAAGAGAGATGGGGGGAAAGGGGAAAGGAAAGGGTTTAAGGGAGAGGGGTGGGGGAAGGGAGGGAGGGAGGAAAAAGGGGGAAAAATGGTTAAGGAGAGAGGAGAGGGGGAAAGGGAAGGAAAAAAGGGGTTAAGGGAGAGGGTGGGGGAGGAGGGAAGGAAGGGAGGGAAAGGGTTAAGGGAGAGGGTGGGGGAAGGGAGACGGAGGAAGAAAGGGTTAGGAGAGGGTTGGAGGAAAGGGAAGGGGGAAAAAGGGTTAAGGGAGTGGGGTGGGGGAAGGGAGGTAGGAAGTGAAGGAAGGGAAAATGGATGGGATAAAGGGAGGGAATTAAGGGAAGAAGAGAGGAGAAAAGAGTGATGGGGTTTTAAGGAAGGGAAGAGGGAGGGCAAAAAGGGTGATGAGAGGGATAAGGAGAAGAGAGGGTAAAAGAAAGCTATAAGGGGGGGTTGAAGGAAGGGATGAAGGGGAGATAAGGGAGGGAAGAAGGGTGGGGGGGGGGGAAGGGGCAAAGCGGAGACGAGGAAGGAGACAGAGGGAGGAAATGGTAAAGGAAGGAAGGGGCGGGTAGAGACAAGGAGGGGGAGATAAGGGAGGAAAGGGTTGGGGAAGGGGAGAGTGGAAACAGGGAAAGGGTGGAGAAAGGGGGAGCAGAAACAAGGAGGGGGAAAATCCTAAGATGTGATTCTATATATGGGTACGTCTTCGAAATTCTTCCTAAAATTGTCCTTCTCGACAGCATTAATATATCTATTAACGTTCATCCCTTCTTTATCTCACTTTCTTCCTCTCACTTCGTTTATTCTCCTCTTGGTTTCGACTCTTCCTCTATTCTATTTTCCTCACCTTTTCCCTCTCACTGTATCCCTTCTTTATCTCACTTTCTTCCTCTCACTTCGTTTATTCTCTTACCCTATATTCCTCACTTTCCCTCTCACTGTATCCCTTCTTTATCTCACTTTCTTCCTCTCACTTCGTTTATTCTCCTCTTGGTTTCTCCTCTTCCTCTACCCTATATTCCTCACCTTTTCCCTCTCACTGTATCCCTTCTTTATCTCACTTTCTTCCTCTCACTTCGTTTATTCTCCTCTTGGTTCTCCTTTCCCTATATTTCCTCACCTTTTCCCTCACTGTATCCCTTCTTTATCTCACTTTCTTCCTCTCACTTCGTTTATTCTCCTCTTGGTTCTCCTCCCCTATATTTTCCTCACCTTTCCCTCTCACTGTATCCCTTCTTTATCTCACTTTCTTCCTCTCACTTCGTTTATTCTCTCTTGGTTTCTCCTTTCCCTATATTCCTCACCTTTTCCCTCTCACTGTATCCCTTCTTTATCTCACTTTTTCCTCTCACTTCGTTTATTCTCCTCTTGGTTCTCCTTTACCCTATATTCCTCACCTTTTCCCTCTCACTGTATCCCTTCTTTATCTCACTTTCTTCCTCTCACTTCGTTTATTCTCCTCTTGGTTTCTCCTTTACCCTATATTCCTCACCTTTTCCCTCTCACTGTATCCCTTCTTTATCTCACTTTCTTCTCTCACTTCGTTTATTCTCCTCTTGGTTTCTCCTTTACCCTATTTCCTCACCTTTTCCTCTCACTGTATCCCTTCTTTATCTCACTTTCTTCCTCTCACTTCGTTTATTCTCCTCTTGGTTTCTCCTTTACCCTATATTCCTCACCTTTTCCCTCTCACTGTATCCCTTCTTTATCTCACTTTCTTCCTCTCACTTCGTTTATTCTCCTCTTGGTTTCGACTCTTCCTCTAATTTTCCTCACCTTTCCCTCTCACTGTATCCCTTCTTTATCTCACTTTCTTCCTCTCACTTCGTTTATTCTCCTCTTGGTTTCTCCTTTACCCTATATTCCTCACCTTTTCCCTCTTACTGTATCCCTTCTTTATCTCACTTTCTTCCTCTCACTTCGTTTATTCTCCTCTTGGTTTCTCCTTTACCCTATATTCCTCACCTTTTCCCTCTCACTGTATCCCTTCTTTATCTCACTTCCTTTCCTCTCACTTCGTTTATTCTCCTCTTGGTTTCTCCTTTTCCCTATATTCCTCACCTTTTCCCTCTCACTGTATCCCTTCTTTATCTCACTTCCTTCCTCTCACTTCGTTTATTCTCCTCTACCCTATTTTCCTCACCTTTTCCCTCTCACTGTATCCCTTCTTTATCTCACTTCCTTCCTCTCACTTCGTTTATTCTCCTTGGTTTTCCTCTACCCTATATTCCTCACCTTTTC